TCCCTCGCCTTCAACTCTTCACCTTTGTCTTGTTCCTATGCTAGGTTCTAGTTCAAGCTCCCAACCTGGTTCTGGCTGGTTTCAGGGCCCAGGTGCAGTTAAAATTCCTTCACTTTAACAATATCCCATCTACCCATCCTGACACAACAAAGCCAAGCAAGTGATTTATTGTCTTAGCTCTACTGGCTCAGCCACTTTCTACACTGCTTCTACTCTGCTTTGGCAGCCGACTGCACATGAGCCAGCAGCGTGCCCTGGTGGCCAAGAAGGCCAATGGCCCCTGGCCTGGATCAGGAATGGTGTGGCCAGCAGGAGCAGGAGGGTCATTGTTCCCCTGTGCTCAGCACTGCTGAGGCCACACCTTGAGTGCTGTGTCCAGTTCTGTCCCCTCTGTTTAGGAAGGACCTTGAGACACTTGAGCATGGCCAGAGGAGGCAACAAGGCTGGGGAGGGGCTTGGAACACAAAGCCTGTGAGGAATGGCTGAGGGAGCTGGGGTTGTTTAGCCTGGAGAAAAGGAGACTCAGGGGTGACCTTGTCCCTCTCTACAACTCCCTGAAAGGTGGCTGTGGCCAGGTGGGGTTGGTCTCTTCTCCAAGCAGCAACTGAGAGAACCAGAGGACACAGTCTCAAGCTGTGCCAAGGGAAATATAGGTTGGATATTTGGAAAAAGTGATCAAGTACTGGAATTGTCTGCCCAGGGAGGTGGTGGAGTCTCCGTCCCTGGATGCACATAAGAAAAGACTGGATGTGGCACTCAGTGCCATGGCTTAGTTGAAGTGTTAGGGCATGGATTGGACTCGATGATCTTGAAGGTCTCTTCCAACCCAGTGATTCTGTGAATTCTGTAATCATTAGATGTATAGCTTCTATCCCTCAGCTAAGCTCTGAACCCTTTGATTTTTGTTTCATGTGGGGCTGAGGGAGCAGTGGCCATCCCACTGTTCCTGGGCTCAAGCTGGGTGGCATCAGCTGAGGGGCAGCTCAAAGGTGAGTGCAAGCACCTTGGTGGCAGCTGAGAGGTAGGAAAAGGTGGTTGGGTTGTGCAGTCCTCACATCCACTGACACAGGAATGCTCTGGTTCATTTTTTTCTGATGCTCTGGTTCATTTGTCCTTTGTCTCAGCACAGCTGGCTCATGTGCAGCAAAATCAGACCTGAAATAAAATGTCAGCTTTGCAAACTCTGTGAATTTTTAGGGTGCAGTCCAGCAGTATAACTAAGTATGTGCATATGAACAATATCACTGATTTCAGTAGGGCTGTTGATGCCCTCTTATTTATATATATTTGTTCTTGTCTGAGGCTGTAACCAGCATCCATCCTCTGGAATTCAGTGCATGTCATGTCCTTGCCTCCAAAACCTGCCCTATGGCAGAGAAAGAAATATCAGCAATTTCCTAACAGTTTCCACTATAAAACCAAGGTTTTCAGGCAGTTGTAACTTTACCCAAATGTAACTGCTCAGCCCAAAATTTCCTGTGCTAGGTATGGTGAGCAAGGCTGACTTTTTGTGTAAGAAAATGTTGGTTCAAATATTTCTGTCACTAGGAAAAATGCATTTGGGTTTTTTTTTTAATCTTGCAGGAACTTTGTTGCTCTCATATTTTGGAGCAAGAAATGCAGCAGAAGAGCTTTCTGGTCTGAAAGCAGCTACTGGCATTAACAAGAAACCTCTTTGCCAGTACCCAGGAATGCAAATAATTTTGATCAAATCATTAAGTTCTAAAAATTACATATCACAAGCAATATTCAGTACAATGCTGTATTAGAATTTGGCAGATGAATGTTGTCTATATTGAGAACATATTTTTCTGTATAAATCCTATATATGAAACCATAGAAAACTGGATTTTGTCCTTCTTTCTGCCACTGAGAAACTGGGTGAGGCTGGGTAAGTCACTTAGGAGTACTAAGCTGGTGATATATTTTGCATTTTTCATTCTCTGAGTGCCTAATTTTGAGACAATTTAGGTTAGGTTTTTATTTATTAACCTACAAGCAGTGTCAGTTTTGTGTGTGGAATGCCCAGTCCCTCTCCTAAGCACGATGGTACCCATCTACCTGGGTAAGAGCTGAGGGTGTGCTGAGAGCTGGGGGAACAGGCTGGTCATGGCACATTGGTTCCAGTGTTTCAGAAACCCTGGTGCCAGGAAGTTTTTCTCCACGTGGATCTGAGATCTGCCCTCCCTCAAGTTAGTGGCTGTATTAAAAACCCAGCTGATGTTCCCCAGGCAGCTCTGGGTGCAGCACTTTTTGACCTGAAGGTTGATTTTGTGTGTGAAGTGGTCAAACGTGGAACATCCTGAAAGTATTTTGCATCAGAAGATACTGTATTTTTATTTATGGCTCAGTCAAAATAAATTAAAATAATCGATGATTGTTTTGAAAGCAAATTACTGGGAGTACTATATATCTACCATGGCAAGTGCTGAAGAGATGAGAATGTCTTATAATGCCAGAGTGAGTTGTGTAAACAAGGGTATTTATATACTCAACAGCAGCAAATCTCCAAGAGGGGAGGGCTGGGTTTTTTTCTTGGCTGAGTCTCCACTGATCCCACTTTATCCCAAAGGAGGAGGAGAAGAAAACTAATGTTCCTATCACACATGTTCCATTATTGATTTCCATTCCAATCCACCCAAAGTCTTCTGTGCTGGAAATAATTAGACCCTGTGAACAGAGATGAAGCAAAAATCTATACAATGCTGGATTGCCAGAAATGAAGACAAGGGTGCCTAATTAATGCTGCATATAGAATGCCTTTTGGATGAATGGGCTTCCCTTTCTCAGAAGCAGCTCAACAGCAGTTGTGTCACAAATTTGCTGTTAATTAAATGGTGCTCACTGTGTGCCTGTAAAAATGGCAAGGAGGAAGAAAAACATTGGACAGCAGCAGAGCTGTACAAAAGCTCAAAGACCGTGAAAAACAAATTTGCAGCTTTCGTATGGATACTTTCTTCCATATGTAATTCACTTTATAGATTTTCCCAAAGCTTCATAGGAATGTCTGGTCACTGCAGAAGTTGGAGCATTTCTGAAGTTGGACTGGAAGTGTATTGGGAGGGTTGAGGGTGGACAAAGCAAGATGGATGAGAGCACAGCTGGATGGATGAGAGCACAGCTGGATGGATGAGAGCACAGCTGCAGCCTGGCCAGGGTAGAAGGATTGTCCAGGAAGAGAGTCAGGGTCTAGAGGAAGACACCAGGTAAAATTTTCTCTGCATGGAAGGTGAACTGAAGGTGACCTAAGGCTGTATAATGCCCCTTGGGAACTGAGAGGGCAGATCTTTAGGAAGATGTAAGAGAGCTGATGGAAAGGCTTCACAGCAGCCCCCACTAGGAGCAGAAATGTCTGGGGGGAAAAACTGGAGGGGTCTGAAGTGTCTGAAGCAGGTTAAGAGAAAAATGTCAGCAGTATGCACATGCAGATAGCAGCAGAGGGGTTGTTGGTGCTTCAGAAGTCTCTGTAGTAGAGGGATTCTGGGACAGCTCTTCTTGTCCTGTAATTTGCAGGCCACTGGTGCCTTTTTTCAGCATTTAATTCTCTCCTTTTATCTCTATTCCCCCCTTGCTCTTCTAGATATCTGCTGTGGCCAATCTAAGTGATACAACTGCTCTCTGTGCATCTCTGGAGAATTTAAATAGCATCATTCCCTCCTTCTCTTTTCTCCTTTCAATGCAGAAGGACTTTATCCTCTTTAGGAAAAGACAGGAAACATTTTTTTTCTAAGAAACTAGAGAATGAGTAAATCTCAGGCTCCTCACTCGAGCAGATGGATTCAGCTAATGAGTCTGTAGGAATCTTCCTAGGCTGGGAATTAAACTGCAAGAATAGATGTTTTCTGATGAAATTCTAGTTGACATAAATATATTTTTACTATGGATTTGATAGAGGGAATTATTTTTCCCAGTATAGTAGATGCTATGGTTCTAGTTTAGGAATTTTATGAAATAATTTGAGTGCAGGAGAAAGGTACTAATAAAAAAGGCTTTTATGACATTGTGCCTTCTAAGTTCTCTCTTTTCTTCCCATTTGGGTGCTCAGCATTGTCTCTGTCTCCTCTCATTCTGCTTTAATAAGTGTTTTTCTCTCTGAGCTGTCGGCCCTGATGCACGGCTGAAATAGGTGCACACACAGGTTGTGATTCCTCTCCCCATTATTGCATTTTGACTCTGAATTCCAGATTTAATCTGTCTAAATATCCACTTCTGGGAACTAAAGTCAACTACTAGAACTTTTTGATGTTCAACAAATAGTAAGGCATTACAATGATTTAAATCAAATAACCAAATCCGTATGAAATGTGCTACTTGTTATCTTTCCAACAGATTGATTTTCTTCCCTGGATCCATTTTAAGCTGCACTGCAGTTGCTAAATCAAAAATAAACGGAGTTTTCAGTCTAGGGTTGTGTTAAGTGTATGATTTCCATTACATCGCAGCATGCTACATATTAAAAATGAAAACATGGAACAGATTTTGAGTACAGAATTGAAATGAATTTTCTGACCTAGTCCCAGTGAATGGGCTCTAAAGTGCTGGCAACAACTGTAGCTTCTGGACTGTAATTATCGTTGCAGTTATTCACAGTGGTAGGAGACTTTACACCTGTAGGCACAAGTGGGGACAGGCTGCTTTTTGAAATTAGTTTGGATAAGTGGGTAAGTTAATCATGTTGGTACAGCTTGTTACCCTCTTGTATGTTTGTTAGAATGTAACCTAACAAAGTATTTCAAAGCATTGTTTCAGTGTTAAGTGGAACTTCAAGAGAGTGTGAAAACAATTCTGGTTTCACAGAAATCAGTAATGTTCTTTTTTCTCCATCAACAGCAGCAGCTCATCTCCACACTATGTATTTTGAATTCTCATGAGCTTAGAAAGCATCGCTGTTTGCCCAGCCCATCAAGAATCAGATTTCTGGGGTTATTGCCCTGAGTTAAATGGATATTTTGGATTGGTACTGGTACAGAACATAACCTGCCTCTCTTTTCTCCCTCCAGCTTGGCTGTACACCCCCAAAAAAAAATAGTGCTGAGCGGTGGCGATGACCGCCTGTGGAAGACGTGGGGCTTCCCTGATGGCAACATCCTCCTGACAGGGGAAGGGCACACGGATTGGCTCTCAGGATGCTGCTTCAGGCCCAGGTCAGTGCCCAGAGTCCCTGAACTGGCCCTGCTCCTTCATTCCCTGCCTGCTTTGCTGCCTCTCTGCTCTCAGGGACACCCTGCACTCCCTGCTGAATTCCCAACCGTGTACATAAAATGTTCCTCTGCCTTTCACAGTGTTGACTTAAGACTGATTGCTTTTAGTATTTTGTACATCTTAAACTCTGTCCCCGTGGCAGTGCACGTAACAAGGAGTAATAAGCTTTTCGGGTATTGCAGTATTCATTTTCTCCCTGTTCATGCACTGAGGCAAACACAGTCCCGTTATTAATAATACTGGAAAGTTGACTCGTATTATGCATTATTTGTCATATGACTGAGAGTATTTGGGTTCACCTAGAGAATAAGAATATGAGCTTTCCTGCCCTTTCATCGTATGGATTTGAAGCTGAATTAATAAATGGAAGTGAGCACTGAAAATAAAAATTAAATATTTAAGTTACAAGGGTCATGGAAAGAGGGCAAACGTGAATTAGGTTTTTTGGTCTTTCTGTTGAAAAATAGGACACCATTTTACTCTCAAAACTAAAATGCATTTGATAAGGCTGTGCTTCTATATGTTGAAATTACTTTGAATCAGATTTGTGAGGCAGCAGTTTAAATAGAGTTCTTTACTGTTAATGTAATAAAAGTCTGCCAGGCTATTCACCTGAGGCTCGGTTATAAAAGGAGCATTATTAAGCCTTCAACCTTGTATTTTCATTGTATTTATTTTATGAAGCAATATTAGCTCTCTTCTTCATGAGGAGGAAATGTATCCTATTTAATTTCATGGTTCCTCCTGATTTCTGAGTTTGTAATGAGCTACCAAAGGCACACACAGTCCTCTAAACACAAGAAAATCCCCTCCTTCTTTTCAAAGCATCAAGAACCAGGAGTCACGCTTTCTGGGATGAATTAAACATGCACTTTCTCTTCTCTTGCATCTTTCTCTTAAGAAAAACAGACTTTTCCTTCAGATGCTTGTGTTTTCACTGTGTTGTCTTTTTCACGTGTATATCCTTAGAAACAATTACATTTAAAAGAAGAGGATAATATTTAACTTATATAATTGCATATAGTACTTGAGGAGAGCAATGGAAGGTTCAGCTTCTTGTTTCAAGGTGGTAGGAAAATTTGTGTATTGCTGCATGACAGATTTCAGAGTTTGTGGGTGCTGGACATGGTTTAAACTTGCAGCTAAACAGAATGCTGCCTTTTCCCCTTACCTGTTGTGAATATAAAACTTAGCACAGGGGAAGAAAGGGAAATACGATTAGAAGAGCATATTATCATTTATAAAGCTGCTGAGCATACTAATCAGATTTCGATAATGCATTGTTACCATGACACCCGCTGACTCAGAGACTCAAAACTATTTTCTCATTAGTCTCTGACCAGCATACAGTCCTTTCAATAGGCTTTGCTATTTCTCATTCAATTATTGAAATTAAAATGAGTTGAGGTACATCATTATTCTCTTGCAGTATAAATTGACTCCTGCTGAATGCCCTGGTGTGATTCAAAAGAAGTGCTGTTAAAATATTGTCTTCTGTTACTGTATAAAATATATAATGTGGCAGAATACGTTTAATCATATTTTTAATTTTTTTAGTAAATTTTTTTTAGATAGGAGACTTTTATATATCCGTTTTTCCTGGAAGCAAAACCAATTACTTAAAAATGAAGAGTTGTCATAGATTTTTTTTCTTTTTCTGGAATCAAATGTAGATTACTTCTAGTTTTGTTCCCATTTTAAAGATTTGAAATTATGTTCACCCCAGAAGTGGAAAAGAAAAGTATTTTTGTGCTGTTGTGTTGTTGAATAGTGGCCTGGGTAGAACTTTCATAGTTCTACAGTCTTTCCAGTTTGTCCTGTGTGAGGTCACTTCTCCTCTGTGTTTCTTCTCTCTCTGTAAAATCAGGTTTAGAACAACCTCCACCTCTGGTGTGAGAAGTGTTCTGTGTGTAGCCACACAGGAGTCTGCTGTCAGATCATCTGCTACAGCATCATGCAATAATTGTAATGTTAATAATATTGCATCATGCAATAACCCACACGTGACACCCATGCACTAATGATTTGAGGAGAGCTGTGATGGGCATTTAGCTGATGCTTCTGCACATACAAATGACTGAAAATCCCAGGAATCTGGGGGTTTATGTGCTCACAGAGTATGACTTAAGCAAGGCTCTTTCTCATGGTCGTCTCTGTGCCATCACTGTGTAAATAGGGGTAAAGCTGCCACTAGCACTGGTGGCTGGGAAGATCTAGAAACTTGAAGCTAAAGAGCTGTTGGGTTGATATATCCCCAGTGGCTCCAAGAGCCACGAGAGAACATGGTTCTAGGAAGTGGCAATAACGAGGTAAAGGTGTGTTTTAGACTCTGGACCAGGCATTACAGAAATGAGCATTGTCCTTAGGAGCTTTCCCAGGACTGATGGACCACACTGTCCCTAAGCATCATCATGGAGCCAAAGAGTTGTTGGCTGGAGGATCTTCCCCCATCCCCCCACTGGCCATGTGCTTCATTCCACAGTGATTTTTTGCTGAAAACCACCTCTCTTTCACTTGTGATCAAAGCAGGGTGAGGTTAGACAGTGCTGACACTCCAGGGCTGCTGCTGTGTCACATCTGGGTCAGCACAAAGGGTCTGGGTGCCCCATGTGTCCTCCCTGCAGTGGCTCCCAGGACAGGGGATGAAGGGCAGCAGCCTGGCTGTGTGCATGTGAGGAGAGCAGAGCAGCTCCCTGCAGAGCTGAGACTAAAGCATGGCCTGAAGCTTTTAAAATAAAAGTAGAACTTCAAACAGATCCTGTCATCTGCAGCTCGTGGCAGCTGGGAGGAGGGAAGAGAACAGTGCTTCCTTCTTTGAAACTCAGGTGACACCTGGTCAAACTTCAAAAAAAACCAGTGGTTTTACTCTGGTCTGGCTGAACACTGCTTTGCAGATGAATTAGCTGTCTCAAGCCCTACCACTATTGAAAAATTTAATGTTTTTCAGCTTGCCTTTTCTAGATGTAAAGGAATGAGGGAGTCAGAATGTCTCCTGACACAGTCATACACAGAGGCTTTGTGGTAAGAATCTGGAGAGCTGGGGAAGAGCTGTGTAGGGCACCTGTGAGTGCCAGGTGACTCAAATATTTGAAATATCAGACAAAAATCTGCATCTTCTGCCAGTTTCCAGAATAAGCTGAGGATATTGATGCTGTACCTTTAAGGACAATACTCTGATTACACTAAGATATTTCATGGCATATACTAGATTTATTTATCTTTGTTACTAACCTTCCTGGGTGGCTAAAGAATCAAGCTCTGCAGCATAACAGAGGTGTGTGTTAATGTCTGATAAAATCTTAGTGAACAGTAAAATATTGTATTCTTGCCCTGCATGTGGGCTGCTACAATATGTAATATCCTTAATATATTCATAAATATTAATCAAGTCAACTCTTCTAAAATGTTTGTATCTCCTTTCATGCAAACATTGTCTGGTTCTGTGGAATACAATGAATTTCTGAATTAAGTACAAACTCTAAGTTCTTGAAGCTATTTAAAACTTGCACTGAAAGTTGTCAGATTGTCAACTCCTTTGTAATGTCCTGTTCCTCTAAGAAAGAAGCAGAATTTCTGGTGTTCCTCAGTTACTGAGGAAAGAAATCCAAACTGTTATCGATTTACTACTACATAAAAATTGCTGCAGCAATTACCTTTAACTGTGTGGATTTTCTAGAAGTTCTATTGCTATTGGAAAAACTAGAGGTGGGTATTACCTCCTCTGTAATTAATAAAAAAACTAAAGAAGAGCTGGAATAAGTATGTTCATGCATCAAACATTCACATGAAGGCATGTAATGTTTGATACCCTAGAAGAAGGTGCCAGAGAGGGGAAACAAGAACAACCCATGTTCTTCCAGAACAGAGGCAGCTCTGGGTGGTATTTCTCAAAGCTGGAGGAGGTGATGTTACTCAAATGGAAATTGGTGCATAGACAGACATAGAAAGACAACCCTGTAGAGAGAGAATTAGCAGAATTATTCTGGAATACACTGGAATATATGGAGGATGCATGTGAGGAATTGGAGAGAAATTGAATGAGATGTGGAGGGAATGCAACTCCAGATGGGCTTGAATTCACACAAGAAGCTTTGAAGGGAATTCTGTAGTACATGGGAGCAGGCTGTGGATAACTGAGCACTGTGGTGGCCACTCAAAACCAAGTCCAAAATGTTGCTGACAATCCAGAGTGGGGAAAAAGGACTGGGATAATATTTGCCCAAAGTTTTCAAGAGCAGTGTCTAATAAATAAATAAATAGTGTATGTAAGACTCTGATAGAGTGGAAGTTATTTTCTCATCATACAAAAATTCTCAGAAAAGTTTTTATAAAATCTTCTTAAAAAAGCAAATTCCTGAGTGGAATTGAAGTCAGAATAAATTTTGACACTGAAATTAATTCATACTCAGGTAAGCCCCTAATTATTTTATTTTTTACACTATTTTAATTTCTTTTTTGATCTTATCATTTGTGAAGAAGCTATCCGGGGCTGACTTTGAGTGGAAAAAGGATAGACTGAAAAGCCCAGCAGAGAAACCTCTGAAGAGTGATGGGAGCAAGGGCCAGAATTCAGGAGGGGAGGACATTCCCAGAAAGGAGAGGCAGCTGGGTTTGATCCAGCCAGGCTCAGATGTTCTGAGGCTCTTTGCTCACTGCATCTCACAGGACTCTGTGCTTGGAGGGAAACTTGGAGGAGCAAAAAATCACACCTGACAGCTTGGCAGGGCCAGGCACCACTCGTGAATCTCTCAGTGGACATGCCTTTGTAGTTTGAGAGCCTGAAGTGCTTTGATTATCAAGGTGAATTACGAGGTGTGCTCTTTGTTCAGCCCCCACCTCTGCTGCTCTTGGCTCCCCACAGACTGTGCCCCTGAGGAGTGTCCCAGTCCTGGGAGCTGCTGATGCACCAACCCACACCAATCTTCTTGACACTCATAATATC